GGGCCGGTGAGGCAGCGATGGTGAGAAAGGGCCGGTGAGGCAGCGATAGTGAGAACAGGCCGGTGAGGCAGCGATTGTGAGAACAGGCTGGTGAGGCAGCGATGGTGAGAACGGGCTGGTGAGGCAGCAGCAGTCAGCAGTGATGGCAACAAGAGGGGGCCTTTCGCATGGCAGTGGTGGTGGTGGCAGCCTCCTGGGTGTCCTCGCAATTGGAGCAGCCCCTGTATGGAACTTGGGACTCTGAGATCTGGATTTTTCCTTCTTTCCTTGCTTACCTGTTGCCTCTGTTAAATCTTTTATTTCTGGTTTTTGTAACCAAGTCGACGCCAGTGAATGGCAACTTTAAGCACTTTTTGCTATACTTCTGTATTCCTATACTTAGTACATGTGACGAATAAATAAATCTAAATTATCAATTACAATGATGTTCAAAAAAGCATGAAGTCAGCACTTTAATCATCTTATAAATTTGATCATATTTTCTGTTTCGCAGATACTAATTTGGGAGCAAGCAACCGACTTGGTTCACACTAATTGCAGGAACATTGGCCTACAAATCAACTCATCATTGATTAATAGAGTAAGATATTTTCTCAGGCTTCCTGCACATTTATCGAACATTATTAAATAGCTACAGATGTAATATCATTTCTTCCAAAACCAAGGAGTTCTACATTTATGTGACAACGCTATAACTATAAAATAACCTAACAAAAACACATTTCTTTACAAAATCATATTACTGTCATTTAATGAGAGTCAACCTGACTTGCTTCATGATTTCCATTCATTCAAAATCTTTTGACAGAATTTTTTTTGGCTTAGTGTGAATCACGTCAAGTTGGGTGGAATGATTCTCACCAAGAGGCCATGTGAGGTTTCTCACAGCATCTTACCGAACTTGCTGCTTTAATTGTCAACTGACCCCTCGCAGCGAGAATCCAATCCTGTTTATATCCCATCTTACCATGCGCCATTCATGAAGGAACTTGCTGCTTAGTGGGGGTCTTCCAGTGGACCATCATTCCCTGGGATCATCCATCTTTCAACGATCTCCCTTCTGCATCAGACACTGAGCCTTGTTCTGTGACTTAAATATCCAGCAGCAGCACCAACCACTTTAATAGTTCTTGTGAAAGGATAAAGTATGTAATATAAATGTGGCAGTAGAATGTAGAGCACTTTGTGTGAGGATTTGGGGGACCAGGTTGATGAGGTGAGTAGAGTGACAGAGGGGTGAGGTGAGTTGGGTGCTAGCTGGGTAAAATGGGCAGTGTGTCAAGTGAGTGAAGTACCAGATGTCTGAGGCAGTTAGGATGCTAGGAAAGTACAATGCGAGCTAACTGAATAGGTGCTTGTGGATTGAGGTGTTACATCAAAGATGGATTACGTTAAATGTAGGATCAAGGTGTAGGGTTTGGTTGATGGTGTATCAAAGTTTTGGAGGTGTCAGGGGTTAGGAAGGTTTAGTTTGTGGGTTCAAAAATGAGTTGGGGTGTTAAGTTATTGATTTTCAGGACTTAGAGGAGTTTTTTTTTATTCGTGTGCAGGATAAGGGTGTCGCCAGCCAGGTCAATATTTATTGCCTATCTCTCATTGCTCAAGGTGATTTAAGTGTCAACCATATTGTTGTGGGTCTGGAGTCACACGTCAGCCAGATCGGGTATCTAAAGGATATTAGTGAACCAGATGGGTTTTATGACAATTATTTCATGGTCATCATTAGATTCTTATATCCAGATATTTGTTGAATTCATGTTCCACCATGTGCCATGGTGGGATTCAAACCCAGGTCCCCAGGAAATTACATGGGTCTAACAGCCCATAAATAATACCACTAGGCCATCACTACTCCAGTCCATTCACATCCTTTCAATAGTGTGGCGACCAGAACTGCAAACAGAATTCCATCTGTGACCTACTCAATGTTTTATAAAGTTGTAACAAGACTTCTTTGCTCCTGTCTTCTGTGCCCCAGCTGATGAAAGCAAGAATTCTGTATGCCTTCTTCACCACCTTGTCTACATGTGCTGACACCTTCAGGAATCTATGGATTTATACACCAAGGTCCCTTTGTTTTCCTCAGTACTTCCTAAGGACCTACTATTCATTGTGTGTATATGCTTCCCTTATTAGACCACGCCAAAATGCATCACCTCATACTTATCGCGGTTAAATCCCATCCGCCGTTGTTCTGCCCAATTTACCAACTGATCAATATCAGACTGAAGCCTGAAACTATCCTCCTCACAATCAACAACACCACCAATTTTTGTGTCATCTGCAAACTTACTAATTATACCTCTACATTCACATCCAGATTATAATGTACATAACAAACAGCAAGGGTCCCAGCACCAATCACTGTGGTAAACTGCTGGTCAAAGGATTCTAATCACAAAAACAACCCTGAACCATCACTCCTATTTTAAAGCCAGTTTTGAATCCAGTTTGCCACCTTGCCTTGGATCCCAAGGGCTCTTTCCCTCTTGGACAAGCTTTCCATGTGGGACCTTATCAAAGACCTTACTGAATTTCATGTAAACCACATCAACTGCACACTCAACAATATATTTAGTCACCTTTTCAGAATTAAATTAGTCAGACCGGATCACGATCTAATAAAACCATGCTGATGATCCCTGAACAATCTCTGCCTTTCCAAGTATTGATTAATCCTATCCTTCAGTATATTTTCCAATGATTACACTACCACTGATGTCAGACCAACTGATTCATAATTACCTAATCTGTCCCTGCTGCCATTAGCTATCCTCCAGTCATCTGGCACTTTGCCTGTGGCCAAAAATAAAATTAAATATCTCTGCCAGGGCCCTAGCTATCTCTTCTCTTGCCTCTCATAGCAGCCTGGGATACATCTCATCAGACCCTGGGGATTTATACACCTTTATGTCTGCTAAAACATCTTAATATCTCCCTCTTATTAATCTCAACATGTTCTAGAACCTCATAATTCCCACTGAAATCCCTACTACTATGTCTTTCTCCTCTGTGGATAGAGATGAAATCTATTCAGTTAAGATCCACGTCCTCTGGCTCCACACGTAGGTTGCCACTTTGGTCTCTGATAGGCCCCATTCTTTCTCTGGTAATCCTCTTACTCTTAATATGCTTACAAAATGCCTTGAGGTCTTCCTTAACCCTATCTGGGAAAGACATTTTCTGGCCCCTGTTTCTTCTCCTAATTCCTTTCTCACGCAACCACCTATACTCAATACTTTTGAAAGGCTTCTCCTGCTTTTAAAGCAATGTACCTGACATGGGCTTCCTTCTTTCTCTCTATCAAAGTCCTGATATCTCTTGACATCTAGGGTTCCTTGGATTTGCTGCCCTTGCCCTTCACTCTTACAGGAACACACTGGCCCTAAATTCTCGCAATACTACTTTTAAAAGACACCCACTTTCCAAATGTAGACTGACTTACAAGTTGCTGGTCCCAGTCTATGTTTGCCAGATCCTGACTAATGATATTGAAATTGGCTCACCCACTAAAACTTCAACCACTTGATTGGCTTCATTCCCTCAGATTAGGTTCAGCACTACCCCATCTCTAGTAGGACTATCTATGCACTGGCATAAAAGCTCTCCTAAAATTCTACGCCACCTAATCCTTTCACACTAAGGTGATCCCAGTCAATATTAGAAAAGTTGAAGACCCCTCTACCACCATATCCAGTTCTCTCATATCTTTCTGTGATTTGCCTACATATCTGCTACTCGATCTCCCTCTGACCATTAGGAGGTCTGCAGTATAATCTCAGCAAGGTAGTCACACCATTCTTTTATTTCTAAACTCAACCCAGATTGCCTGATTTGAAGACCCACTTAGACTTCCTTCTCATCACAACTGTGGGGATTTTCTTTATCAATAATGCAACAGTCCCACCTCTCTTACTGTGCCACCTCATTGCACTTGAAACTTCTATACTCTGGAATGTTGAGCTGCCAGTCCTGTCCTTCCTTCAACCTATCTCACTGATTGCAACAATATTATATTCCCTTGTGCTGATCCTTGCTCTAAGTTCATCCACTTTACCAGTCAAACTGCTTATATTAAAATAGATACAATGTAACTTTCTAGACCTCCCATGTGCTGCTCCATCTACTCAACTGTCGTAGCATTCCTTCTATCTCTGATTGGACCTTGCTTCCGATTTTATATCTACTCTGTGCCCCATCCATCTGCCAATCAGTTTAACACTTCCCCAACAGCATCAGCAAACCTCCCAGCAGTGATATTGGACTCATTCCGTTGCGGCTTTAACCTGTTCGGCTTGTACAGGTCCCACTTACACCAGAAGCTGTCCCAATGATCTAAAAATGTAAAGGCCTCCCTCTGTACCATCCCTTTAGCCACCCGTTCGTCTAACCTATTTCTATATTCAATATCATGTGGCACTGAAAACAACCTGGACATTACAACTGTCATGATTGTAACAAGGTCAACCAGGTGGACCTCATAGAATATGAATTCCCTGACTGGGGCTGTTAATCTGGTCCATTCAGGAAGCTCTGGCTGACAGATATAAACAGGAATGTCAGAGGTTCTAATTAGAAGTTGCTGGAAAAGCTCAGCAGGCCTGGCAGCATCGGTGAAGAAAAAAAATCAGAGTTAACGTTCGGGTCTGGTGACTTGAGGAAGGGTTAACTCTGATTTTTTCTTCACAACTGCTTCTAGACCTGCTGAGCTTTTCCAGCAACTTCTGTTTTTGTTCCTGATTTACAGCATCCACAGTTCTTTTAGTGTCAGAGGTTCTGCTCACCCTGGGAGCTGGCTCTAAGGAAGACAGACAAGTGTCAAGTACTATGCACATGTAAATAAATGGTGACTTGGTGACGGGATACCAGCCTCTGAGGAGTTATTTCAACAATCTTAGGAGAAAGGCTGCAATCCATACTTTGAAAGTAAATCCATACTTAGAAAATAAAATCTATACTTTGTGTGTAATCCTTCTCAAGTACTTAACTGCTAAATTCAAAATCCAGTTGTAGGTTTCCTAAAAGTAGTAGATATGGAGAAACTGTTCCTGCTTGTAAGAGTATTGAGAACCCAAGAGCATAGACTTAAACAATTTTGTGAGAAAAACAAATGTACAGTAATGTAAAAAAAATCGCAGCAAGTTGGTTAAGTTTGGAATACACTGCCTGGAAGTGTGGTGGAGGCAGGTTTAACTGAAGTGTTCAAAAGGGCATTGAGTGATGATTTGTATATAAATATTGTGCAGGGAAAAGACAAGAGATCAACACCATTTCAAAATGCTCAGGTGGCCAGTGTGTTCGCACTGGACCAAATGGCCATCTTCTGCTCCATGACAATTCTGTGATTTCCTACTCAATACATTTTCATCTATTCAAACAGACAAGTGATTCACATTTGTACTAACACCAGAGCAAATTAAGCAGCAAGGATTTTATCCATTTCTGTAGCAATGAGTGCCTGCTCTCTGCCCATTATTTTCCCCTGTTAGTAGTTAGGAAATTACAATGTCGTGAAGTGCAGCCATGAAATTTACATTATGCATTCCAGGCAGCAGGAGACCCAACATGTTTGGTGATAGA